CCAAATACACAAAGTAAGCCAGGGTCAGAGTTTGAATTCTGGACTCCAGTGTAGTGTCCTGATTACTAGAATACTTGCCTCCATCCGCATTAAAAAGAACAGGAAAAATACATTAGAGTAACTTCCCTTAAAATTGATCTCTGTGTTCACATGCCAGGGTTGGTATCATGTGCTTTCAGGGAGGGATTTCTAGCAAGGTGGTGGTGATGGTTGTTGTCAATTGTGATGCATAGTGATCCGTGTGCAACAGAACAAAACACTGCCCAGTCCTGCACCATCTTCACAGTTGTTCTTATGTTTGAGCTGATTGTTGCCCACTGTGTTAATCCACCTTGTCCAGGATCGTCATCTTTTTTGCTGCCCCTCCACTTTATGAAGAGCGATATCCTTCTCCAGGGACTGTTCTTCCCTGAGAACATCTCTGAAGTATGTAAGATAAAGTCCTGCCATCGTCGCCTCTAAAGAGCAATCTGGTTGTACTTCTTCCAAGACAGATGTGTTTGTTCTTTTGGCAGTCCGTGGTACTTTCAAGAGTCTTCAGCACTAAAATTCAAGTGCATCACTGCTTCTTCCGTCTTCCTTATTTAATGTCCAACCTTCACATGCATATGAAGCAATTTAAAGAATCTTGTCAGAGTGACCCAATGCAGTATGTCGTGTGATATCTTGACTGTTGCTTCGATGAGCATTGATTATGTATCCAAGTAAGACGATATCCTTGACAACTTCGATCTTTTTTTCCATTTACTATGTTACGCATTGGTCAAGTTTTTAGGATTTTGGTCTTCTTTACATTGAGTTGTAATCCTGAAGGGTGCAATCCTTGATCTTCATTAGTTAGTACTTCAAATCCCCTTCACTTTCTGCAAGCAAGGTGTGTCACCTGCATATTGAAGGCTATTAATAAGCCTCACCTTCCGTCTTGATGCTGTATTCTTCTTCATGTAATCCACCTTCTCTAACTGTATGCTCAGCATACAGATTGAAAAGTGTGGTCAGAGGATACAGTCCTGCTGCACACCTTTCCTGATTTTAAGCCATGCAGTATGCCCGTGTTCTGTCTGCACTGCTGCCTCTTGATCCATGTAGGTTTCACACAAGCACAGGTGTTCTGAAATTCCCATCTTCTCTAGACTATCCATATGTTAGTTATGATCCACACAGTTCCTCAGCATAGTCAGTGAAACACGAGTAAGCATCCTTCTGGTGTTCTCTGCTTTGGGCCAAGATCCATATGACATCAGCAATGTTATTCCTTGTTCACGTCCTCTTCTGAATCGGGCCTGAACCTCTGGCAGCTCCTTGTCAATGTATTGCTGCAACCTGATCTTCAGCAACATTTTACTTGCATGTGATAATAATTATATTGTTCTGTAGTTTGAGCATTCTGTTGGGTCACCTTTCTTTGGAGTGGGTATAGATATGGATCTCTTCCAGTCAGTTGTCCAAATAGCTGTCTAACACATTTCCTGTCATAGATGAGTACTTCCCATGTTTCATCAGCTTGATGAAACATTTCAATTGGTATTCCATCTATTCCTAGAACCTTGGTGTGTGTGTGTGTGTTTGTGTGTGTGTGTCTGTAGCTAATGCTTTTAGTGCAGCTTGGACTTCTTCCTTCAGTACCTTTGGTTAATGGAATGCTGACTAACTCTTTTTGGTACAGTGACTCTGTA